GATGTGTTTTAGGATTTTTGGAGCTGCTAGATTGTTTTCTCTGATCTCCTGTCCTTCTTTTGCTCTTTGTTTCCTAGGCTCTTTCTAGAATTCTCTCTCAAAGAGATCTCATAAAAATAAAAGGTGTCCACCTCCAAAGTCCCCTCTCTAAAGACATAAACTTCTTATTTATAGGCATTTTCTAAAACTCTAGATCCTATTTACTTATTTATTTATCTTTAATAAAAGATCCCTTATTTTTTGATGACCAATAAAAAATCTACAAATTACTTTGACCATTTCTAAATCTAATTTTAAATTTAAAATTAAAAATTTGAATTTAAATTATTTTTTTTCTATTTTCTTAACCTCTTAAAAAATAGAATTATACTTAATTTTTTTATTTTGAAATTTATTTTTGAAAGGGACTCGGATAAAATTGGGTATTCACAATGTTGAATGTAAAAATTTTCTACTAAGTGCATCTGCAACTACATTCTCTTTTCCAGGATGATACTGTAATTCAAACTTATAATCCTTCAAGAATTCCATCCACCTTCTTTAACGCATATTCAATTCATTTTGATCAAAGAGATTTTTCAAGTTCTTGTGGTCACTATACACTATGAATCAGAGAGGACGCATGTCTTTTGGAAGTGATCAAAAGAGATATTTCAAGCTCTTATCATCATAGAGAAGCTACCCTTGCAACCACCTCTACCAACATGTCTTTTGGAAGTGATTTTATGGCGGTTGTCGGAGAGGACGCATTCTTGAAAGTGGGTTTTCTCGTTTTCTTTAATTTTGATGGAGCCATATGGTTGGATATGGTATTGATGAGTTTAAGGCTGCGGAAACTTAGGATTGGAAACTATGTTTTCGAAGCTACGGTATGATGTGTTTATATATATGTTGGAGGATATTTCAATAAGTGCTCTTGTTGATATAATTAATATCATCGGTTAAGAAATCCTATATACAAGAATCAAACTCAAGAAATCCAAGATCTAGGAATTTGATGTATTATATATTTGCAAGGGATAATCTTAGTTGCACCTAAACTTTATCTTATTGAATCCTTACAAGAGTTTAAGTATTAATGACATCTGGAATGGAAAAATTTGGAGGGATAAAAATCTAAGTAAGTCGATTTGGAGTGAGAAACTAATCCTAATCTTAATAATTAATAATTCTGACAAGAATTTGAAAAGATATCTTAATTTTGAAAAAAAAAACATATTCTAAATGATAACCACTAAATTTCTTAAAAGAAATACAGAAAGAAAATGAAGATGAAAGAAAAAATAGACAAATTATTGTGGAAACAAGAATAAGGAATATAAAGGAGAAATTAAAGAAGAAAAACATCAAGGGAGAATGAAAGAAATAAAAAAACAGAGCAGCGGAATATAAGAAATATATAATAATTTTTTAATATATTAATTTTTCAAATTATTTGGTAAAATAATTTGAAAAAGTAATATATTAAAAAGTTGAGTAAAACAGAAAAATATGGCCATAACATCTGTTTAAATTTGGAAGTAATATGAAAAAATAACTATAACGTTGTAAAACTTGACTTCTAAAGTTGAACAACATCATTAAAGAAAATTAAAATGAACACTCTATCTACATTTTATCAATTTTTCTCATTTTCTAGTTAGAAGTTTTGTAGTTTTAAAATTTATATTATTTTTCCTAATCTTGAGTTAATTATTACTATTCACGACTTCACGTACTCAGAAATTTATCTCTTTTCGTAATTAGTTTAATTATCTACATGACTACATTCACGTATGAACCAATACTTTCATGCTAACATTATCAAAATTGAAACTCACACCATATAATGTTCAGTGAGTTTTTTATTGCCATGGATATTTGACTCCTATTTTTACTATATTTTTTATTCTTGTAATTAACTTAAAGGTATTCACTAATGTTAGGAGACATTGAGTACTAATGGCTATCAATATCTGTAATGAGACATTGTACTATCTGAATCCACTCGTAGATAGCTTAAGAATCGACCACATATGCTTAAACATTTTTAACAAGTAAGCATCTAATTTAATATTCTATTATACATGAATGTGTTTAAATAGTAACATACTTCTTTCGTTTATTTTGTTGGTGCCCTTGTCACATATAATGAAGAAAGGCGAGTTTAGGTCTCTAGGATGAAAATGTATCAAACACAATGGGTCACTGTATAAGTATATTTTCTAAAAAATATTAACTTAATAATTATTACAATATCAATAATTTTGAGTTCATGCATATTTTTATATTTTTTTCTTCCACAAAGCGTCCTAAGAAAATGAATAACAATGACTATAAATATTATCCATGTCTCTTCATTAGAAATATTTTGCACCATAAACAAACTACAATCTCAATTAATGTAAAGAGCTTATATCCAAAATTACTTAATAATTTAAATTTGTTTTATTTAAATTCTACTTTAATTTTATTTAACTTGACTTTGCGCATTTGGTTATGTCTTTAATATTTTCCAAAATTTCATAATTATTATCGTTTAATGTAATTGTATTAATATTTATCTTTTCTATATTATTTTGTTATTATTTAATTTTAAAATATTTAATTATTCCCAATTTAATTGATTAAAATAATGTTAATTGTAATATATATATATATATATATATATATATATATCATTGATTTGATTTGCAATTCTAGAATATCAATTGTATTTAGAATACTAAAGTGTTCCAACTATTTCTAAATTATTGATTGTGATTTATCAAATGTAAAAAAATTTATAATAACTTGAAAACACACACATTTAAATTTTTTTATTTTCAGAAAAAAACATTAAAGTTTGCTACATAAATATAAAAGTATCAATCTTTCTTATAATAAATAAATAGATGTGACAAATACACTTACTTTAAGTATAATTTACACCCATCACTTGTTAAAATCAAGACAAATTTAATTCCAAAGAAATAAGCCTATGGATTTTCCAAGTAGCCGATACACATGGTTATTCTTACTAATTTGTCAGATTTAGGGGAAGCAATTTTTTTACACAAGTCTTTAGAAAGATTTATTAATTATAGAATTTTGTAGAACCAAAAAAAAAATCATAGAACTAACAATAAGAAAAATATGCTTTGTTTTTTTACATATTTTTAATATATAAAATATTTCCACATATTAATAAATCATTTCATTTCACTGAGTATCACTATTCTGATGCAAAACAATAATTGTCACAACATCAACGATTTAAAGATTCCAGAACCACTATCGATCAAAATTGACGTTTGCTTTCCTTTATAAATTTATAAAATTCACCCTGAAACAAATATACTTATTAAGTAATCATATGTATTTCTTTATTATTATCATCATCCAAGTTTTGGATTCAACTCATTGCAAGTAAAAATGATATTAATTGTTATTTTACAATACACCTTAAGCCTTCAACAATGACATTAATTGATTCTCGAATGAAATTTGAGGTAAATATCAACCTTATAAAACATCCATTAAAAATAAGCCATTTTCTTGGTGGGAAAATTTCTTTCAAGTCACTTATAAACACTATTTTTCTTTTCGAGTTGCGGCAATCCATTTAGATAACATATAACTGTTTGTGAAAAATATAGGGAATTAATTGACAATTAATAATCAATGAAAGATAACAGAACATTAGAGTCCTAAGTTTTGGACCACAAAATGCAGTTGTTAATTTTGGACAATTGTCAATTTTCTGAAGATTTTATATGCTTGCACTATATTTGTCGCTAATCCAATTTTATATTAACTATATTTTTTCGTTGTTTATGTTGTAATAGTTTTGAGTAAGTTAGCTTCAAAAAAAGATATGATCCCATTTATTGAAAATATTATAAATTTTGATCTTACTCGTGTTGGATTTATTAATATTATTGTTATAATTTATAAGATATGGTTTGTCTTATTTGTGAAATTCCTTTAGGGGTTAATATCTTATATGACATAAAGAAGTTTTGAGCTATAAAATGCCAATTGAGTACTTATAATTTCTTTAGTTTTGGATGGAAAGTATGTCATTACTTATGAAATTATTCTTTTGTATCGTTTTAATCTTTTGTATATTGTACTATATATGTTTATTTTGGAACTACTTCACTAGTTTACATGTACAAGTAATATATTTATCGAGTTTGGATTTTTTACAAGAAAGATATATGAGTAAATATTCAGTTTAGTCTTTAAATTTAAACATTTATAATTTTTGTCTTTAATTTTACAAGAATCTTACCTTAATCTCCAACTTTACAACATAATATTTATTTTGGCTTTTTATTTATAAAATAAAAGTAAAAAAAATAAATAAAATGAGTATTTTATTTAATATTCAAATTAAAGTGAGATTTTAGTAAAGTTATAGAAAAAAGTGATAATGCTTAGATTAAAATAGACAAGATAAATTGTGAATTTAAGATTCACAATGAATACATTACCACAGAGTTGAGATCTTATTGTTATAGCATTGTTGCATTATAATATTAGTGACATTTAGATATTAATGTTGATATTTTGGTATCATATATTATTTTGTACTCAACTGGATCTTATAGCAAAAATTTCTTGGAGATTTTAATACTTAGTCTCATTGAAATTGAATTTTAAATTAAACAAAGTTGTACTATTTTTATTTGTATCACATTTGATGGGATTAACCATTTTGTGCATTGCAAAATTCATATACATAGTATATGTATAGGTAATCAAAATACTGGCAAATAATGCAATGCCCATATTTTTTTTACTGTATAATAGTATGATTGTGAACCGTTATACTGTAGTATAACAAAACTGCAGTCAAAGTAGGACGTATAAAGTTTGAAAGAAAATTGCATAGGAAAACTCAATGGAAGAAATATTCCACTCATTATTTAGCAAAGAAATACATAGTTGCTAATTTATTGTGTATTACATATATTTATTTGTTGGACGTTGTTATTGCTGCTCAAGCTATGTTGTGATCCATACCCGTAAAAATATCATGGAACCCTGTACACAATAAGAAAAAAGTTAAGAATAAGTATAAAATTATGGATAAATGTGAATGCATGTGTGAAGGTAAAAGGGAAGAATGATGGATAGAGATTTACGTGTTGCAATCGATTGATGGTACAACAGGAACTGGAAGATCAATTTTACAAAGTTGAGGGAGTTGTTTTGCTCTGTCAGGCTTGACGCCATTTTTGGAAGCAGCGATCTTAAGGCAATTGCACACATCCCTTCGATTTTGAGTGGTGCTTGCCCTTAGAAAAACAGTGTTTGCTCCTTCACAACACTGACCTGATATTTCTGCAGAACCAACCAAATATGGTTTACAAGGTTGCAATAACGATATAGCCTCATCGCATGTGATCTCATCAATTTGGCCTGTAGAAAATGTTGATAGCATCAAACATAAAGTCATTACAGCCACAATAACATTCATCATTTTCACCATTTTGCCTGCAATGTGTTTCTATCTTCTTTGGAATTTCAAGTTGTGATGACCCCTAAGAAACTTGATTGAATTTATAGCTGTCATTCTAATTTGTTGTGTGATAAAGGGTAGGTGCATAATAATTTTCTTTCCTTTATTTCTTAGGCTGTAATTAATTTTTATTTTCCTTACATGCTCAAACTTATCCATTTATGCAACATTTCTTATTTTTTTGTTCAAACGTTATTTTACTAAAGTCATTTGCTTGGGGAGTTAGTTAAACAATTGGTCGGTTGTTCTTTTTAACTTGTGGCTTTCAATTTTGATAATGTTAGCATTGAAGTATTTGTTCATATATGAATCCACTCATGAAGATAATTAAACTAATTATGAAAATTTCTAATTAGAAAATGAGAAAAGTTGATAGAATGTAGATACAGTGTTTATTTTATTTTTTTTAATGATATTTTAACAACATTATGGTTATTTTTTTTATTACTTCCAAATTTAAACAGATTTTATGGCCAAAAATTATTTTTTTATTTTTAGTCAATTTTTTTTAATATATTATCTTTTTAAATTTTTTTACAAAGGCATAGGGATTAGGTAAGAATAATAAATAGATTTTCTTCAAATAATTTTTTTTTGGTTGTATCTTTTCGTAAAAATGGACAAAACAGGCTACCTAGATAATCTGGGTTGGCTTGTTGCATGCAATAGGTTTAGATCATGTGCAAAAAATTATATTTAATTTGTTGTGTTAAAAATGCTAAAAACAATTGAAATTTAACTTTTTCTATGAAGTAATATTGGAATCTATCGTATTTGGTTAAAAAAATATTTAATTTGGACTAAAATTTTTTAATTTGTGCCCTATATTTTATCTTGTAGGTTTATATGAACCTTAATTATAAGTTTTTTTCTTAAAGCTTTGTTTGAGAGTTTAGAAAAAGAGGAAGGAGAAGGGTTTGAAGGAAGAAGGAGGGAGAAGGAGATTAAATTCTTTCGTTGTTTGGATGTTTAATATTGAGAAGGAAGGGTGTTAGGGAGGTTTAATTATATAAATTATTTTAAAATTAATATTTTTTATTTTTTTAAAGTTTTTTTAAAAAAATTATTACTTGAAAAATTATTTTTTTTAAAAAAAGCTAAAATCTTATTTATAAAATAATATGAAAGAGTGAAAAAGAGAAAACTCAAAAAATAAGCTTTTAGAGGATTTAAAGATCCTCCAAAACCTTCTCCTCTTAATTAAGCAACTTCCAAATAAGATTAAACCCCTTCTAATCGATTCTCTCCCCTTTCTTCTCTTTCTAAATCTAATTCTCAAACATAGACTTAGTAAATAAGATTTTTCTATTTTGCCATTCTTTTAATAGACCTGTTATGCCTATACATTTATTGCGAGAATCGTTGGGTTCATTACATTTGACGTATTGTGTGATTTAACACTAGTGGACCTCATAATTTTTTTTAAAACATCTTATTAAGTAGGTTAGAAAAGATGTGTGTTTATAAACTACCATTAGTCTCAACTCTTATTTGATATAGGACTTTGAGCAATAAAACAATAATTTATAGAAATTATGTTGCTCTCCTTTATGCACATTTCTACGTTAATTAAAAGCTTATAATTTCTCACTTAAACATGTTTATAGGCTATTCAAGATTCACACGGTACATAAAATATTTTTCTAACATGATATCAAAAACTTATTTAATTTAAATATTGAACTTATTCAAATACATCCAATCTTGTTGAGACCCTGTAATCTATCTAGTTTGGATGTTGGCTGCTAATTCACGCACCAAATATTTAGTTTTGCGAGTAAATAAAATGTATTAAGATATCTTATGTTAGTTAAAAAGAAGTCAAAATACTTCTTGTAAAGTCTTAGATAATTCTTCTCTTATAAGATAACTTTTTGGAATAAGTTAAACCTAGATTTTTGAACAAGTGCATATCACATTGCTTTGTTCAAGTTAATTATTTTGAGTTTAGAATTTCACCTTTCTTGCCCTTGGTTTTTATGATTAATCTAAATTATTTTGATCATACACTCACCTCATCCCACACATTTTCCATCTATATTAGATGTTTTTGAATGAAGTTTTAAGACTCAATTATTTGTGTTTAACCTCACTAACCAATGCATTGTTTAAATAGATTTGTTAATTAAACAATTAAAAATTATATTGAATATGACACCATATATAATTAAAAATTATATCGGTTTATATGTGAATGGGCTCATATAGATAATTATACTAATTATGAAAATACATAAATTTTCCAGAGTACTGAATAGTAATTACCTCAAGATTAGGAAAAAATAATATATATTTTAAAACTACAGAAATTCTAATTAGAAAATGAGAAAAGTTGATAAAATGTAGATAGAGTGTTCATTTTAATTTTCTTTAATGATGTTGTTCAACTTTAGAAGTCAAGTTTGACAAAATTATAGTTATTTTTTTTTTATTACTTCCAAATTAAACAGACGTTATGGGCAAAAAAATTTTAAGTCAAATTTTTAATATATTTTTTAAAATTATTTCACAAAATGAAAAGCATTAGAAAAGGATAATAAAGATATTTTTCTTCAAATAATTTTATTTTGATTGTATCTATTAGAAAAGCCAGAGAAAACAAGCTACCTAGATCATTTGGGTTGGCTTGTCCTATGTAATAGGTTTGGTTTATGTGTAATACTCTCAATTTTGTTGTCCTTTTATGAGAAAATAAGAATTTTGTTACAAGATTTCTCACTCAAGCGAGATAGGTTTCGCTCAAACAAGATAGATTTTTTTTTTAAAAAAAGAAGGCATTCTAGAGCATTCTCACTCAAACGAGATAGAATAAGGTTGACCCATCTGTACTCTCGCCCAGGCGAGGAGTCACAGGCAAACAGGAAAGTCTCTAGACCCATTCTCGCTCAGCCGAGATTGCCTCTCGCTTAGGCAAAAATGTTCTCGATCAAGTAAAAGTAGCAGAAAAATGAGTAGTCCCGCTATCTGGTTGTCTTGCCCAAGCGAGAAAGGTCTCGTGTAGAGCTCACTCAAGCGAGAATGCGCAGGTTTGGAGGGATATTTAAGGAACCTTAACCCTATTATGTTATCAAAGTGGAAAGGGAAATGTTGATAAATTATGAGGAATATGTAATGCTGAAATGATAATAAGATATGTGTCATGTGAAAATGTTAAAGTGCTAATAAAATGAATTGTAATGAAAAATATTGAAAAATTGGATGTTATACGAAACACTGAGATATTGTATAGATAGTTACAGAAATACACTGAAAGTATAGAGTCTGAAGGAGTAAATGCTAATTGTAAGAAAGTGCACAATGATTTGCTGAAAGTAAAAGTATTCACAGGTCACACATTTATTTCCTGACAAGACTCCTGACTATACCTTTGCTAAAAGGAATTAGGGGAATACATGTTAAATCTGTGTTGTTGTTGCTAGTTAGCAACTATCTATACATATATAAAACTTCAAGGGATCTCAGAGACAATGGATGTGAATTTGTGATGTGTGTTTGTAATAAGTGAATCATAGCATATTAATTAGTGTAATTAAAATATAGATATTGTAATATATTGACTGGTATAATCATAATGCATTAATTAATATGGTTGTAATGCACTTATGACATACTGCTCGGCATGAAAATAAATGAAGTGATGTGAACCTAATATATATTTGAAGTAATGATGATGTGATGGATAATCTATTAATCTGCTATAACATTTGTTAATATAATGTATGATATGATATTATGTTAGTGCATATTATATAATCTAAAGTATAAATAATATGATTGTTGTTGCTATAATTTTATTAATTTAATATTGAAACTAGTATTATTTACTATAATGGCACAAATTTATGTCTCCTTTGTTAATTTGGTTGATTCTTAAATCAACGAATTATTGAGAGCGTGAATATTCACCCTTACAACCACTTTTTGAGGAATTGAAATGAATGATGGTTCGCTCTATGATCATATTCTTATGTAAAGAAGAATCTACTTTGTAGGCTTTAAATTGTATTACGGTTTTAAAAGTTTTGATTAAGTCTTAGTTAAAAATTAATTTTTTGTATGTAAATAATGTGATGATAAATTTAGACATTTAAAAGGTTTGATAAAGATTATTCTTAATAATTATTTGAATTATATATATAATACTTGGCAATTAATTCTATCAATCTTAATTGTTTTTATGTTGAATTTTAAATTCTAAAAAATGTATTTATAATGTTTTTGCAAAGTATCATCAAAGAATTCATTTATAAGAAAGTTTTAATGTCACCACATTTTCATACTACTTGTTTTAAGAAAAATTAAATTTATTCCTTTTAAATTGTCATAATTTATTATATAAATTGAATACAAAATTAGGGATGTTACATTATGTACAAAACTTATATTTACTTTGGCCTCTAAAAAATATACTCAAAACAATTAAAATTTAATTTTTTACATGTTTTTGCAAATTTAAGTAATATTGAACCTGAATGAAGGCTATAGTGAGTTAGTGTAGTATATAACTTATGAATAATTATGTAAAATGACCTGATGTAACATGTTATATGTAACATATCCTTTTAAAATTTAAATAATTTTCTACTTTAAATATATAATTTTAAATAAAACGTAATTGAAATTATAAAGGATTTAAATAATTTTAAATTTTTTTACAAATATATGAATTTAGACCAATAAAAATTGGTAAATTTTTAAATTTTGTATATGTATGAATCTCATTTATAATAGGAATAAAATGTGCTTTCATAATTTAAAATGAAATTTTTGTGTTATATATATATATATATATATATATATATATATATATATATATATATCAAATTCATAATACAAATGAAACTGTCTTTAAGTGAATTAAATTTCTAACTAAAGTAGGATATAAGTTAAAATTTAAAGTAATTAACTATTAAATATTACACATACACCTTAAATCATTATTTACAATAGAATTTATCAATGAAAATATGAATTCTAAATAGATACTTAATATTATTATATTCCTCAAAACAAGTTAAATTCTAATAGAGCAGTCTTCTTCGTTATAATTCATTATGAGTATGATCCTAGGATGGTTTCATCTTTTTTTATCTCATCATTACCTGCTGAAAATATTTATAAAGGTGAGCATCTTTTGCCTCACTAAATTCTCATTTTATAATACAATAAAAAATAATATAAAAAATATTTTCTAATACATTATACATTAAAATAAAAATAACTATTTTTACAATTATATCCAAACAGAGATTATTCATAGATATCATTTCACATTTAATTAAATACAATCATTCAATCTTTGAACTCATGTCATTTTATACAATTCAATTATGAGAGATTTATCAAATAACGATACTCTAGATGCTCACGACCATTGATTCGTCAAAGTTAACCATTTCTACAACACGACTTGTATATTAGTTTGCACATTATTTTAGTAAAGTAATTTGCTTGAGAAATTGGTAAAATAATTGAAACTAATTATTTTTAATAAGAACCAATACTTTAAAGCTAACATTATCAAAATATATTGAAACTAATTATTAAATTAATTATGAAAATTGATAAATTAATAAGACCATATGGATTGCTATTCATCCTATCAACAATATTTAGGGAAAAATAAAAAGAGAAATAGAAGAAGATATGGAAGTGACTACCATGGAGGTTATAGAGCTGGAGTTTTTGTTCATTCGCTATGTTTTAATGGGATATACTTTTATTTTTAATATTTTATTTATTTTATATTTTTAAATATTATGAACCATATGTTATAAGCATTTTAAGTATAATAGGGACATGAGATGATCAAGTAAAATTTTGTAATGATATTTTTTGAATGATAAAAAATAAAAAGAGGTATGTACTTTATTTTTTTTTAACTTTTGTATCTGCTTCTCTGTTTTTTTATTTCTTTCATTCTCTCTTGATGTTTTTATTCTTTATATTCTCCTTTGTATTCCTTATTCTTGTTTCCACAATAAGGGTAAGTGTATAATAAGTTTTTTTTCTTTTTATTTGTTAGGCTGAAATTAATTTTTATTTTTCTTACATGCTCAAAGTTAACCATTTCTACACATTACTTGTATATTAGTTCGAACATTATTTTAGTAAAGTAATTTGCTTGGGGAGTTTGTTAAACAATTGGTCGGTTGTTCTTTTTACCTTGTGAGTTTCAATTTTGATAAGTCATGTAGATAGTTAAACTAATTATGAAAAGAGATAAATTTCTCAGAGTACGTGCAAAGTAATAATTAACTCAATATTAGGAAAAAAAAATAATATATATTTTAAAACTACAAAACTTCTAACTAGAAAATGAGAAAAATTGATAAAATGTAGATAGAGTGTTCATTTTAATTTTCTTTAATGATGTTGTTCAACTTTAGAAGTCAAGTTTTACAACGTTATAGTTATTTTTTCATATTACTTCCAAATTTAAACAGATGTTATGGCCATATTTTTCTGTTTTACTCAACTTTTTAATATATTACTTTTTCAAATTATTTTACCAAATAATTTGAAAAATTAATATATTAAAAAATTATTATATATTTCTTATATTCCGCTGCTCTGTTTTTTTATTTCTTTCATTCTCCCTTGATGTTTTTCTTCTTTAATTTCTCCTTTATATTCCTTATTCTTGTTTCCACAATAATTTGTCTATTTTTTCTTTCATCTTCATTTTCTTTCTGTATTTCTTTTAAGAAATTTAGTGGTTATCATTTAGAATATGTTTTTTTTTTCAAAATTAAGATATCTTTTCAAATTCTTGTCAGAATTATTAATTATTAAGATTAGGATTAGTTTCTCACTCCAAATCGACTTACTTAGATTTTTATCCCTCCAAATTTTTCCATTCCAGATGTCATTAATACTTAAACTCTTGTAAGGATTCAATAAGATAAAGGTTAGGTGCAACTAAGATTATCCCTTGCAAATAGATAATACATCAAATCCCTAGATCTTGGATTTCTTGAGTTTGATTCTTGCATATAGGATTTCTTAACCGATGATATTAATTATATCAACATGAGCACTTGTTGAAATATCCTCCAACATATATATAAACACATCATACCGTAGCTTCGAAAACATAGTTTCCAATCCTAAGTTTCCGCAGCCTTAAACTCATCAATACCATATCCAACCATATGGCTCCATCAAAATTAAAGAAAACGAGAAAACCCACTTTCAAGAATGCGTCCTCTCCGACAACCGCCATACAATCACTTCCAAAAGACATGTTGGTAGAGGTGGTTGCAAGGGTAGCTTCTCATTCTTTCACTGACCTTCACAGCATGAAAATGTGTTGTTGGGATTTTCTTGATGCTTCCGAAGATAGTTACGTTTGGCAACAAGTTTCTCTGGACAAGTTCCCACTAATCCAATGGTTTCCTAATGACAAAGCATTGTCCTTTTTAAAACGTTGCAAGCAAAGCGGAAACATAGAATGTGTGTGCAGAGATGGATTTATAGAATTCTTCTGTCATCCAAACGAAAATATGGGTGATCTTGAAATCTTGAAGGTGGCTGCTGAAAAGGGTCACATGGAAGCAAAATATATGTATGGTATGATATTATTATGCTCTGAATATGATGAGTTAAGAAGAAAAGGACTTGAACATATGCGTTTTTTGAGGAAGTCCATGTGTGTCATAGCATGTAGAAAAAAGGTGGAACAATTTGCACAACATTTATGGATAAATAGAGCATTAGTGCGAAATCAATCCCCTCTTTGTCGTCATAAGAGTATATGCAATGGATGGAGATTGAAGAAAGGTCGATGGATATTACTGGATGAAGATGATGATGATGATGATGATTTTCACTCGTGCGAATATTGTCGATGGGATCATGAGTTAAACTTTTTTTACAATTTATTCAGTGTTGCTTGGTATAGTTTCAGTGAATAATTGTATTTTAAAGCAAGTTTATGTGATTTTTCTTCTTTGCATTTTGCTTATGTAGACACATTAGAGTGGCACATCTACCTGCTTTCTCTCTCTTTCGAATGTTAAAATTTGGCAAATTAACTTTTTTTTTCAATTTCTTTTATGTGTTTTGAAGTTTTGATAAACGCTTTCAATTTCGTCAATATTTTTTTCTTCTTTCCCTTCAAAATTTCCCTTTCCAAACAATCTCTGGGAGGCGAGAGAAAAAGAAAAGCAAAAACTGTAGAGACAGGGGTACCATTATTCTTCATTAAGATTTGAATTAAAATCAGATAAGTGGTGAAAACCTGGCCATGGATACTTTTATCTTTATCAAAGATATATATACCATATCTTCTTTTACTCTCACCGAAAGTAGATAACTAAAGCTTTAAAATTTAAATGAACAAGATAGGGTAATTAGAAAGGAAATTCTTCGTATTATTTTTTATGGAAACTAAGAAAAAGGGACGTGAGATCAAATGGTAATTGAAATGAATAAGCTTTTAATATTTTATTGAAGAGTTTAAATTTGATAAATTATAAATATCCATCTTGATCGCTTTAGAAAAATATAAACTCATAAAAGCTAACTGTCTAGATAATTAAATAAACGACATATTTATAAAATCCTTGTATACTAAACGCTAATTTAATAAATTATTATAGTCATCCTTGAAAGACGACCTTAGTTACTTGCCACATTCTGCGTTAGGTTTTTATTTTGGTACATGTACGGCTACGGATCAAATAAATTATAAATAAAATTTTTATATTAATTATTATAAAAACTAATGTATTTTTTTGTTGATATAATAATTGATGATTCAATTATAACATAAAAATTTTTACACACTCAATATATATAAATAAAATTGATTATAAGACATAAATTAAAAATATAATAAAATTAATATATTTTATTTGTTGTATGGTAAAGGGTAAATGCATAATAATTTTATTTCTACAACATTTCTTATTTATTTGTTCAAACTTTATTTAAGTAAAGTAATAATGTGACCGTAAAAGAATTGGTTCATATGTATAAATGGGCTCATGAAGGTAATTAAACTAATTGTGGAAACAGATAAATTTATAAGATTATGCGAATAAAAAAATTAATTAAGATTAAGTCAAATAAAATAACACATTTTAAAACTAATAAACTTCTAATTGGAAAATTAGAAATGATTAATACTATGTGGATAACCTACTAGTTTATTTTGTTTTTCACTAATAATGTTGTTTCAACCTTAGAATTGAAGTTTTATAACATTATATTTATTTATTTTTATTACTACGAATATAAAAGGAGGTTATGGTCAAACATTAAATGCTGATTTTTACTTTTAGTCAATTTATTCAAATTGTATTGAACTTTATTGATATATTATTAGTATGTTTATTCAATTTTATAATAACCTGTTAAGAAGACGAAATAATATCTTTGTTAATTTTATAATAAAAATGTAATTATCCTAAATTATTTTTATGGCAGTGTTGCTTATTTGTGACTAATAAATAAAATAATTTTACGAGAACCATTATTATATTGGATAGCATGTAAAACTTTAAAAGATAAATTGACTAGAAATCAAACTCAACATTTAATATTTTACCAAAACCTCCTTTTATATTTGGTAGTAACAAAATAAAAATTAACTACACTGTATGACTTTGAATATCATTATATATTAATGAAAATAAATCAAAATAAACATTTTATCTGCATTTTTTTTATTAATCCCTTATGATTTTCCAAATACAAATTCTTTTAGAAATATAATATTATATTTTATTTGATTTTCAATTATTTACAATTTTATTCACATATTTTTATGGGCTTTGATTTTTAATTTTACAGTTCACTTGTCTTCATGAGCTCATTTTCTATAAAACGTGACTATTTTTTAAAAGAATTTATAATTTTATAGATTAAAATTTTTTGTTTGGAAATTTAATTTAAAAAATTTAAAAATAAAATTTTTAATAAAAGAGTGAGAATTTGGAAATAATTTTTTATTTATTGTTTGTTCTATTTATATTTTTATTTAGTTATGGTTAATCTAATGATTTAAGTTTTATATTTTTAATTAATTTTATTAAGTATAGTAATATTTTTTTTAAAAAATATAAATAAGTTAATTACTCTATCCAAACAAAAACTTTAAAATGATAAAAATTTAATTATACTATCTAAATAAAATATTTTAAAATAATAAATATTTAAATAACAATTTAAATTTTTAAAATATTTTAAATTCTCTAATTTTCTAAAATTTTAATTACCTCATCTAAACCCAACCTAATGTTGTCATTAGCAAGTAAAATGGAACTCATTGGTTGAAGTTATAAAAAACAATTGGTCAATTTGATCAACATTCAAAATATATATGATCAATTGTCCATCCGATATATTGATATTTTATTTTAAAATAAATTATATATGTATGTATACATTAAAATTATTTTAAACAATAATTATTTTTAACAATAGTTTAACTTAATTCTATATCTATGAATAGTATGCATCAAAATATAAACAGTTAGTAAAATTAAATAATTTTAAAATATTATTTATTTTAAAATAATATTTTTTTTAATTTAAAGGGCTAAAAGTCCAAAACAAAAAAATAGTTAGGTAGTGGACCTACGGGTCTAGATATCAAACATAAAACATGATACAAATCACAAGGGGTTAAATTAAAACTAAAAAAAAAATAGAAAAGAGATTCATGCCCTATTTTGACTTATCTATAAGAGAAACATATACGGCTTATATTAACAAACTTGACAAGCTCAAGAGTATCTCTATTCTTACAAATATATATATTGAGAGAGAAAGTAAGAAAAAAAGAAAAAAACACTAGACACAAAAGCAATGAAATCAAGTAAATGTCTCTTTTTATTGTTGATTGTTAAAAATTATTACAAAATTTTACTAGTTGATTTCATGTTCTTGTGTTATACTTGAAAGGCTTATAACAAAACGGTTCATAATATCTAAAAAATATAAAAAAATAAAATATGGAAAATAAAAGTAAATCTAAATAAAATATTAACTTACTTTAAAAATATAAAATATTTAAAATTGTCAAATAATTCCTTCTACATCATTTTCCTAACAAACTAGAACTGAAAGTGAAAGTTTCACATAGGTTGGAGGTGAGAACCAATTTAAAAAATTTTGAATGTTGCAAACACAATATTTAAATTTGTAAATCAATACCTTATATATAATTTTTCATGACAAACTAATGTAGAAAGTGTACACATTCTACATGAATTGGAGAGGAGAAGCGATGTAAAAAGCCCAAATAAAACTTTTTACATCAGTTCAACATGAAAACTGTTCTTGAAAGTGTTTACACTAACAGTGATCAAATTTGAGCTTTTGAGGTGATACTTTACTATTTGTGTGTAAAGAAGAGGAACAACAAACTTGTTGAAAGAGAGTGACTCCACAAGTTAATTTTGTCTTCCATTTAAAAATGTGGTGTTAGACCAATATTGCATATGTTTGGTGAAATTGTTAAGTTTTAATAAGAAAAAATTAATTTTGGTTTTAGGGTTAAGCATTGCATTATGCACAGTGCAAAAATTTGTGCTTTGTTGAATTGGTGATTTGGAATATTTTGTGATATGTTGTAAAGAAATGACATTTTTAATTGATTGTGATTAATGACAGTATTGTGTTTCAACAATAACTTATTGTCATTGTATATTTATAGAATGAGGTGTTTGGTTTGAACAATGTATTTTTTGTTGTAGTTATTATGTTGTTTGGTAAAGGAAGACATTGACTTGTGACTCTCTTGCCGAATGAATTGTTTTGGTAAATAAAATTGAAACAGTGTAAAATAATATGCTACATTGATGGCCTTTTTGGTAACACTTGGCAAGCAAACTAAGCTTCGATGTAGTAATTTGATATCGTCTTCAGGGATTTGTTGATAATAGTAATTTCTTTTCTTGTTGTATATAAAAATATAAAGAATGTGATGAAATATTGATTTGTTCTAAAATATATAAAAGCAACAAATTGAAATTTAGTAGAAAAAACCTTATGCGAGAAGAGATTGGATTCAAATATACTTTCTAACTCTTTTATCTTCATCAATACTCACCGCAAATAACTTTTCATCTAGAAACTCCTCCAAGACCTCACCCTCCTGACTGGTCACTTGTTCATTTACAAGTCTTGATAAGTGATCAGCAACATGATTCTCACAACCCTTTTTGTCTTTGATCTCCAAATCAAATTCTTGTAACAATAGAATCCATCAGATCAACCTAGGCTTGAAGTCAGTTTTTGTCAACAAGTACTTTATAGCTGCATGGTCAGTATACACAGTGATTTTTGAACCAATGAGATAAGAACGAAATTTTTCAAGTGCATACACTATGGCAAGTAACTCTTTCTCAGTTGTTGCATAATTTACTTGAGTTTCATTTAACACTTTACTTGCATAGTATATGATATGAAAAATTTTATTCTTCATTTGACCCAATGCAGCTCCTATTGCATAATCACTAGCATCACACATAAGTTCAAAATCATATTTCCAATCTGGTGTTGTGATTATGGGAGTTGAAACAAGATTTTTCTTTAGCAATTCAAAAGCTTTTAAACAATCATCATTAAAATCAAATTTAATGCTTTTGAGAAGAAAGTTACTAAGAGGCTTAGCTATCTTAGAGAAATCTTTGATGAATCTTCTATAAAAACCTACATGCCCCAAGAAGCTTCTTATTCCTTTGACGTTGGCTGGTGGTGGAAGCTTAGCAATGATCTCCACTTTGGCTGGATCAACCTCTATTCCTTTTGCTGAGATTTAATGTCTCAGTATAATTCCTTCAGTCACCATAAAGTGACACTTCTCCCAGTTGAGTACCAAATTAGTCTCCACACACCGCTTCAGTACGGTGTTTAAGTTTTTCAAGCAAACATCAAAAGAGAATCCAAAAACTGAGAAATCATTCATGAACACCTCAATGCATCTCTCAAGTAAATCAGAAAAAATAGCTAGCATACATCTCTAGAATGTGGCTGGTGCATTACACAAGCCAAATGGCATCCTCCTATAAGCAAATACACCAAAAAGACATGTGAAAGCTGTTTTTTCCTGGTCTTGAGGATTTACTGCTATTTGATTGTATCCAGAGTAACCATCTAAGAAACAATAGTATGACTGACCAGCCAATCTCTCAAGCATCTGGTCCATGAATGGTAGGGGAAAGTGATCTTTTCTAGTGGCCTGATTGCTTCCTGTAGTCTATACACATACGTAATCCTATCACCGTCCTAGTTGGAATCAGCTCATTTTTCTCATTTCTTACAATTGTCATACCTCCTTTTTTAGGAATAACTTGGACCAGACTAACCCAAGTACTATTTGAAATGGGATAGATCATATCTACTTCTAACAATTTAACCACCTCTTTTTTCACTACCTCCTTCGTGGTCGGATTTAGGCATCTTTGAGGTTGGGCGACTGGCTTATAATCTTGCTCCATATGTATCTTATGCATACAGTATGAAGGACTAATTCCTTTCAAATATGCTAAAGTCCACCCAATAGCACCTTTATTGGCCTTAATCACCTCAATCAATTGATTCTCTTGCTCCTTTGACAAATGACTGCTAATAATAATTGGCTTCCCACCATCACTGTCCAAAAAGACATATTTCAAGTGAAATGGTAGTTGCTTCAGTTCTAACTTTATAGGTTGCACTTTCTCTTCTTCCCTCACATCTTCTTGCAAATGAGCATTAGTAGAAGAACTTTCACCTTTATTCAAACTGTTAATACACTCTTGCACTTCCTTGTCTAAAGTCTCATCAAACTCCTCATCAACATCAAACAAAACTTTTTCAAGTGGTGATGAGGTCCTAAGAATATCTTGAGCTTCCAAGTACACATCATCCAATACATCAACTCTAAAACATTCTTTGGTACCTTTTGGAAACTTCATTGCTTCAAATACATTAAAAATAACCTCATCATCTTAAACTTGCACCTTTAGCTTTCCGTCATCCATGTTAATGATAACTCGGGCGGTCTTCATGAATGGTCTACCTAGAATCAAAGGAACCTCTGCATCCTCTTCAATATCCATTACTACAAAATCCACTGGAAACATGAATTTGTCCACCTTTACTATCATATCTTCAACTATGCCATGTGGAAGTTTCACTAATTTGTCTGCTAGCTGCAAGGTCATCCTTATAGGACGTACCTCCACATCTCCAATTTTCTTTAGCATAGATAAGGGTATCAAATTGATACTAGCACTAAGATCTAGAAGTGTCTTTCCCACTGATAAATTTTCAATAGTCACTGGAAGAGTGAAACTGCTCAGATCTCTGGAATTATGGGGTAGAGACTTCTGTATAATAGCACTGCACCCTACTTCAAGCTCCATAGTTTCCTCTTCAAGAATCCTTCTCTTCTTGGTCAACAAATCCTTCATAAATCTAGCATATGTGGGCATTTGTTCCATAGCTTCAGTGAAAAGAATGTTGATCTGGAGCTTCTTCATAATATCCAGAAATCTTGCAAACTGTCTTTCTTTCTCTTTCTTTGATGGTGCATGAGGGTAAGGTAGGTCTTTAATAGGAACTGTCGAAATTACGTCCTTGCCCTTCTTCTTACTCTTTTCTTTCTCTACACCACTCTTTTCTTTTACTTCCCCTTTTTCATTTTCTTTTTCACTCTCACTCTTATTATTTACATCTCCACCTTTACTACTTTCTCCATCTTTTCTCTCAATCTCTTTCTCAACCTCACCACCTTGCTCATGTTCTTCTTTCTCCTCACTCTTTTTCTCACTCACTCCAACATCACTACCTACCACCTTACCACTCCTTGTTGTGATGGCTTGGCATTGCTCCTTAGGGTTGGCCTTTGTGTTTGCTGAGAATGGACCTTCAAACTTGTCAGCTAATTGTTTCGCTAGCTGACCCACCTGAACTTCTAGATTTTTTATGGAAGCCTCTGTATTCTTCTGGTTAGTGATAGATACTTGCATGAATTAATTCAGGGTATCCTCCAACTTGTTGGTCCTCTCATGAATAGAAGGATAAGAAGCTTGTTGCTGTTGTTGTGAAGATCTATTGGAAGTCTCTGCTTCATTTCTCCATCCAAAGCCTTGGTTGTTATTAGCATTATTTCTCCAGCCTTGATTTCCCTGCACAAAATTATTAGCATTCAAATTTTGGGAATTAAAATATCCTCCTCTTGGTTGATTACCCATATAATTGACTTCCTCTTCATTGGTAGTTTCTGAACAGAACCCATTTGAATGATCTCCTCCACAGAAATCACACTTGAGTGGAGGATTGGTTTGAGGAGACTATATGGCATGAAGTTGTTGTGGCAGCTGTGCCATTTGTTTTGTCAAGGCTTCAATCTGTTGGGTTAACAACTTATTCTGAGCAAGAATAGCATCATGAGTGTTCAACTCAATGATTCCTCTTCTTTGAAATTGATGTCTTCCATGTTGTGCTTGTTGATCAGAGAATGCTAATGACTCAATGATCTTCGTGGCTTCATCAAGATCTGCAGACATCATAGTACCACCAGCTGCTGCATCTAACAACATCTTCACTTCAGGTTTGATTCCATTGCAAAAGAAGTTCAGTTGTGCTATATCTTCAAACCCATGGTTAGGACATTTTTTGAGCAATGATTTAAATCTCTCCCAGGCTTCACAAAATGGCTCATCTATGCTTTGCCTAAAAGTAGTAATCTCAGCCTTGGCTTTGATATACTTGGATGAAGGGTAAAATCTGTTAACAAATTTGTTCTCCACATTGCTCCAGCTGGTCAAACTTTGATTAGGATGAGATTGTAGCCATATTTTAGCTTTGTCTGTCAAAGAAAAAGGGAACAATCTTAAATAAACAGCTTCTTCATCACCTTCTGGAATACTCATTATACTACAAAGCTCATAAAAATTAGACAAATGAGAATATGGATCCTCATGGTCAAGTCCAGTAAATTGTTGTGAGCCAACTAAGCTGAGGAAAGTTGGTTTCAATTCCATGGCTCGGGAAGCAGTAGGAGCTACAATACTAGAAAAATGCCTTGGGCCTTGTTGTAGAGCATAATCACCCAATGTCCTTCTTGGAGGTCTACCTGTTTCAACCCCACTATCATAATTTGTTTCTTCTTCAGCCATTTCTAACTCACGAGACGGTTGCTTAGAAGAAGTTGAAGAAGATGGAAAAATTAACTCTTGCTGTTATTCTCGGAGTGTCTCTAACTGTTTGAGCCTTCTTGTTCTACTATTATTTCTCCTTATCGTTCTCTCAATCTCAGGATCAAATTGTAATTCTTCAGCTGGAGTTTTTCCTCACGTATAAGAAATCATAACAAAAAGGTAAATCCAAGTAACAAAATAATTATATATACTATAAATATTCACACAATTAACTAGTAACAAAAATTAACAAGAAATGAACGTTACTAAATATCTGTGCCAAATCCCCGGTAATGGCACCAGAAACTTGATGGCCTTTTTGGTAACACTTGGCTAGCGGACCAAGCTTTGATGTAGTAATTTGATATCGTCCTCAGGGATTTGTTGATAATAGTAATTTTCTTTCTTGTTGTATATAAAAATATAAAGAATGTGATGAAATATTGATTTGTTCTAAAATATATAAAAGCAACAAATTGAAATTTAGTAGAAAACCTTATGCGAGAAGAGATCAGATTCAAATATACTTTCTAACTCTTTTATCTTCATTGAATAAATATGATTCTAATTCTATTACTTCCATGTTCATTACATAACTTAACTAGATCCCTCAAAATTAAGTTTTAAGGTAATTAATCCTACAACATGATTCCTCTATGTTTTAAGATTAATACCTTGCATTAAGAACACAACTTGAACATATGTGGCTAACAACCCCAAGTCTATTCCTAGTACAAGTGATTATTAGGTGTGTGATTCAGTTCGGGTTTTCAAAAGAGTTTTCCAACAAAATTTTCAAAAGCCAAAGATCATAAACTGGGTGATCAAGCTGAATTAAGCATTAAGAATAGAATCACACTAAGTAAATAAACTGAAAATCATATAAACTCACGAAGTAATTGAGTTAGGAGTTATATTGAATCCAATCCAAAAGAAATTAGCCACTCATAGTGAGGGTCATATCAAGATGTGATTCTCGTTGTGAAGCAATCCTCCCTACATCTTTCGTTGCTTCGTTCTTACTTTCTTCTTCCTCCCCCAAAAGTCATTTTTTCTCTGATCTATTATGCCTTTCTCCCCTTTTCACTTCCCAAACGTTTTTCTTTTATGAGTCTTCAAAACAAAGAGAATTCAAACAGATTTTAACTCCACGGCTATAGTTATGGATTCACCACTGTAGCTGTAACTTTGGCTTGCATTAATTCTCTCACGGCTGTAGCTGCAGATTCACAGCTTTGGCTGTAACTCTCTGGAATCCTCTTTTTGTTGCACACTTTCATGGCTGTAACTATGGCTTTGGAGCTGTAACCCTGAATTTCAGACTTCACCAAATTCTGCACAAAAGAGAGATATTTTAAAAGAAAACACTACTACTCTTGTGACTTCTTCAATTAGATTAATTCATCCAATTGGGAGTTAAATATACCCAGAATTATTTACATTTTAACCAAAAAATGTGTCAAATTAATGATAGAATATGAATTTCTAGCACTTAACACACAAAGCGATTTTAGTATGTGTTTATTGAAAGAAAGTTGAATATTAGAATTTTGTGTTTTAGATTTTATACACTCATGTATTGGTCTCCGCAGATTGTTTTATGCTGAAAATTTAAATATTTTGCACATATTTAATTGAAGTGTCATGGATTAATTCAGAATTAGTTGTTTTTATGTTTTGTGATAGGTATGATAAGAATTTTGTATATTGTGTGCATTGCATTATAATGAGATGTGGGCAGTCTAGCATTTCACGAATTTGTTGCAATTTGGATGTAGGTAGTGATAAGGGTACATAAAGACCCAAATGACCATGGCTTATTGGCTTTATTTGGCCTTTCATCCTGAAAAGGTCAATGATATGTAGTAGTAAAGTTATTGAATTGGAATTGATATTATTTGAAATAGTATTGAATTGAAGCGTTCACCATGACCCCAATAAATGGCCGTATTTGGGCCGCTTTTTTATGAAGGCATTTCATAGTTTTTGTATTTTTTGGAGTCTTAACCGTTAACGCCCCTTTATTAGGAAAAAAGAAGAAGAAAGAAACAGTACAGTATTTGACGTGGTTTGAATAAGGTTTTGTTAAAGTAGTGTTCTTGAGGATGTGGCATTTGTTTCCAGTAATTATTTTAAGAGTTAACGCATCTGATGGGTTTTTAATATCCTCTTCATTAAGAGTTTACGCTTCGCTGTGAATTTTGTCATTCTACTGGAGGTAGTCATCCTTAACTAAAAACGACAATATGGAATTTCATTCTTACATACAAGAAGGAAATAATTCTGAGAATAATGATTTTAATATAAACATGTGATAATATTATATATTATACTTTTAATAAAAAAATTAGTTATTAATTTTTTATCATAAACTCTTCAATAAAAATTTTAAAATTAAAAGTATTTATTAAAAATTGTGTTAGAAAAATTCAAATTACAGTAAATAGTATTCAATATATATATATATATATATATATATATTCACCTTTAAAATATCAATTAAAGAATAAAAAATAAATTTTTTTGTTGAAAGAATATTATTTATATACTTTCTTCTTTAATATTTTAACGTATTCCAATGTCACTTTTAATAAAAAATAATAATTTTAACTAATATAAAAACTTTTAAATGTAAGACTTTTTTAATCATATTTTTTATAATTTTTAATAATTAATACTTATTTGATAAATAATATTTAATAAATAGCATATTAATTAAGCAAAATTTGTGTTACCCTACTTTTAAGAAAATTTTAAATTTTATAAATATTTTAAATAAGTCATTTTATGTTCTATTTTATTGTTATTATACTAATAATTAATAATTAATTATAAAATTAAATTTAAGTTAGAAATTTGTAATTGTTGAAATTTGTTTATCCTTAAAACCTTGACTTTTATCTTGATTCAGTGAACTTTTTGGTCCATAAAATTTTTTATTTATAAAACTTTTTTGACTCAGAATTTTTTGCACAAGGGCTGAATCAATTAAACTCTTTTACAGCTCAAGAATAAGAAAGAGAGACAACGTACTCAAAAACTAAAAATTCAGGTCTCTTCTACACATTATATAACATAAAATTTGAATACATTTATTTTTGGATCAGAGTTTATTCGAATATGTATATATATGTATGTGATTTCCCTGCTTGAAGCATCATGGAATCCTGCACAAGACCAAATAAGAAATTAGAAAAAGAAATGGCATCGATCACAAAAATCAAACGTAGGTATGAGAGAGAGGCTTACGAATTACAATCCATTAATGGGTCAACAGGAAAAGAAGGAGTAATGTTGCATTTTTCAGGAAGCCCCTTCACTCTCACAGGATCAAAGTGATAAAAAGCTGTATATGACTTCAAACATTCACAAAAGATTCTTCTGCTTTCAGTGTTGACATTGGAATCTCTAATCGCCTGTGCTGCTCCTTCACAGCATATTTTTGGCGGTGGCCATGTGCGTGAGCTCCCAAAATAAGGCACACAGTTGACAAGTAATGGTGAAGCCTTTGCGCACTTCACATATTTACTCTCACATGATGTTACCATCACACCCAAAATCAGAGCAATTAGCATCACAAAACCCATCACTTTCTTCTCCTCCATTTTTCTATGCAACTTTCTTCTCTCTGCTCTGTGCTTTCACAGGAAGGTCTTATTTATACTTTTTTTCTTCATCATTTATTCAACCGACTTTTTATTCAAAATTTAATATTTATTGCATTAAATTTTATGATTTTTAACAGATTTTTTTTATTATCTATCCTTAAATACACAACAAAAAGTCATGCATTAAAAGATAGCATTGACTCTTAACGTTTTTAGCGAATTTCTGCAGTTACCTTTATGTACAAAATATATTGACCAACTCTTATTCAACTCATAGTTACTTATTTCGTTTATTTTATCGGTTACTTTTTCAATTCTTCTTTTTTATCACTTTAAAAATATATAAAAATATTTATTATATCTTTATCCTTTACCAACCTTTTAATTATTTTACATATTTATTATTTAACATCATTTAACAATAATAAAAATTTTATCTATTAAAGAAAAAATATAACAAATAGTCTTTTCAACTTATAAAACTTTTTAATCTTAATTCACATGAGTTAAAGATAGAGCAGAGTTCATTAGACTTTTTAACAATTTTAGTGCATATTAAATATTTGTTATAATATAACTTTTACTTCACTATTAGAAAAGCGCTATTTATAAACAGTTATTACAGATAGATTTTTATCTATTTGTAATACAGACATATTTTTAGTTTTTTTGAATTTTTTAAAAAATCTGTCTGTAATAGTTGTTTGTAGTTGGCTCGTCATTTGGCGCGAAGTATTATAGACAGGAATTACAGATAGATTTTTCTGTCTGTAATTTGAAAATGGGAGAGAAATTTGGAGTGGGAGTTACAGACGAAAAATCAGTCTGTAAATATTGCCGTTTTTGACTGACTTTTCATCTATAACTGTATTTGACAAATTTATTGTAATTGAACTTTTAAAACGCACCTTTTCATTAAACGATTTACAGACAAATTTTTTTTGTCTGTAATGTGCGAAACACATTAATCCGCGTTTCCTTCTTCTTCTTCCTCATTTTGCATAATTTTCTCTCTTTCTCGCCTCTCTCTCTAAGAGTTTCAGTTTTTTGTCCTTTGCGAGTGATTAGAGCATCCATTTGAAAAATAATTTGCATCATTGTGTTCCTAGTACGAAACTATAACTTTTAATCGATTTAGTTTTTTTATTTTTAGATGTATTTTAGAGACTTAAAATTTTTAATATAGAATTGTAGGATTAGATATTGTATGACTGGGAGGAAGGGCATATAGGTCATTTTTTGAACTTGATTATTGTGTACTGTGAGATTATTTGTGTTTGTGGAGTTTATAAAATATGCATGTTGTGGAGTTAGAAGGGGATGTGCTCTAGAACGGTTTAGGATTGTAATGTGTATGTTTTTTATGCATTGATTAATAGATTGTTACATAATATATAGATTATGTGTAAAGGAAATTTTGATTTTTATATTAAGTACGTATAAATAAATGTTAGGAAATATTCATATATTAGGAAAGATTCTGCTGAAATTTATATTAAAAATTTATTGTATTAAGTGTAAACAAATATAAGGAAATATTCATATATTAAGGGAGATTCTATCAAAATTTACATTAAAAATTTGTTGTATTAAGTGTAAACAAATATAAGAAAATATTCATATATTAGGGGAGATTTTGCCAAAATTTATATTGGAAATTTGTGTAATGTAAAATAAAACGTTGATACAATATTGTGTATTTGTGTATTTGGTCTCTAAACATGTATTATATTTTATTCAAATATGGCAGGTAAAAGTAAAAAAAGTGTTGCTCAGAGTCTTAATCATGGCAACACTCTTTCACCCACTGCTCCCACTTCCAACTTCACACTAGCTACTATGCAAACCTCACAGGATAAAGGACAAGAGCAGTTTATCATGGTGCCTAACCTTAGATATATTACTCCTCCCTCTTCATTGCCGACTACACATACCACACAACCTCCTTCTACACAGGGCATAGGTGAGGGATGCACTGTTGTCCCAGCTGTAAGTGGGCAGCAATTATCACAGACCTAAGCATCATCGAGATTGCTTCCAACTTTAAGATGGGATAGGTCTACTTGGTAAGTTACATTTAAAATATGAATAATAACTTTATTTGATGTGAATGTTATAATAATTGTAATATTTTATTGTGTGTTAAGTTGGATTCCACCGCAGAAGGGTCTCCACCAAGTGACAGATACCATTAAAAAAAATGTTTGATGCGCCTTACACAAGTTTTGCAAAAGTGCCTAAGGATACAAAGATGGAATGGTTCAAAGATTGGAAGGTAATAAAAGTTATATAATTTCAGTTAAGTGTAATTAGATATTGTTTCTTGTAATTCTTCTAATGAAATTGTATTTATGTAGAGAAACTTCTCCATTCTTCTCCAGGATGAAAAGATGATTTTCAAGGCATAGAAGTGTCGCACTACAAAGCGACTAAGACAGATGTACACTGAGACCCGTCAGGATCCATCATATGTTGATTTGATAGCGCCTAACCTCCTTCATGTCTTGCAGGAGTATTGGGGTACAAATGAATTTAAAAATTTCTCCGTAAAAAAAAGACAAATGGGGCATCTTTAAAAGGAGGATCATTATAAACTAATGGTTCTACGACTTTGGCTAGCACTAAAACGAATTTGGTATGTAATTTTTAATTTTTTTTAATTGTTTTATTCAATCTATAATTGATATTTGAGATGGTGATTTAATTGAAATTGCAGAAAAAGTCACTGAAGAGACCATCTACACATGGAGAGGTGTTCAAGGAGACACATACTTACAAAGGAGACAAAATCTTGTGAGTTGATACACAATCTCAGGTCACATATGTAAGTCATTCTTATCGACACTATATGTTATTATTAATGATTTATCAAATAGTTTTTGAGACTAATATATAATTATCTGCATTAAACTATAGGATGACTATGTTCAAATGCTTGAGGAGACATCTTCTCAGGATCCAGAGTCAGTTGATGAGGATACTAAATGGTCAGAGACGGTGGATGGCCTTTATAAAGGCCGCATTTACAGCATGGGGAGCTGCTTTGCAGACTCCATGTCCCCTGCATTTGTCACCGGAGATGCCCCTTCTTTTATACCTGAGGAAGTAGAGGATATGGTCCGCACTCAGGTCCATGCCCTCAATGAAGAACTGCAGAAATAAAATGAGGAGATGTGGAAGATCAAGGAAAGTGCATGGAAGAAGAAGTGGGCAAAGAAAATGGAGAAGAAGATAGAGAAGAAGGTGGTATCGATGATGCAGAGGGAGGTGCAGCAACATATGCAGCAAATGCATGCATACTTTGAGGTCATGAGAACAAGCACTACTACACCTCTTTCTACTCCTCCACCAGCTCTAAAACCACTAATCTTCAGCTCTGTGCGTCATTCCTCCTCTGACTCCTCATCTACTAATGACGATACTTTTTGAAAAATGATCACATCAATTATTAGTGATATACAATGTTATTTTATTTTTGATATTATTTTCTTAGATGTTTTCTTCTTCATTTGTAATGACATTTTAATTTTACATTTTATAAATAATTTTTTATTTAAATATATAATTTTGTACTTTTTATTATGTTTATAAATTTTGATAATTATGAGTAGCGAAGAATAATTATGTTTATAAAAAAATGAAACAATTTTTTTAAAATTTCATAAATGAATTACAGACAAATTTTTCTATCTATAAATTACAGATAGATTTTAAAATTCGTTTGTAATTATTTATTGACGTGCATATTACAGACAGACGTGACCGTCTATAAATTCGTCTGTAATACTAAAATTTGTCTATAAAAAAAATTTCATCTGTAAATCCATTTATATTTGCAGGTTTTTTAGTAGTGCTTTTTCATAACTATTTTTAGTTTATTTAGTTTATGTAGTCTAATCAAAAATTAATATCTAGCAATATCTTAATCGACCACGTTATTTAGAGGAATTAAAAGGAATAATTTTTAAAAAGTAGAACTATATCTTAAGAAAATATTTTATAAAAATTAAGTTCAAATTATATGAATTTTGTAATGACTAAACATTTAATTAAGCCATACAAAATATTTTAAAATAATTTTGAATCTATGCAACTACCAAGTGTTTTAATTGAATGATTAATTTACCTTTAAAATTATTTGGATCACAAAAGTTTATTGAGTGGTCACTTGTTAAGTTCTATAAAAATTATATTTATAATTTTTACTTAAATTTAAAAATATAATAATTCATGCAAAAATTATTAAGATATTTTTTTATTTTTATATGTTATTATTTCTTATTTATTATATTTTAAATCCATACAATAGTCAAGTGATATCGAGAAAGTGGTAAATTCACTTTTAATATTACTTAAATTGTAAGAATTTATTGAGTAGTTACATGCTAATTTAAATTTTGTGTAAAAATAAATTTATTTTTAAAATATGTCACGACCCCTTTTATAAGGAATCGAGAACATTGTTTCTACATCATATACTTATTTAAGATAAATAAATAATAGAGAATATAAGTATAAAATTCACTTCTCATTCAAAATAAAATAAAGTTTCTTACAACTAATATCCAATAGAACATTATAATATTACATTTAGTTCATAATATTCAAAATACCCAAAATTATACTACGTAGCTCCCTCTACATGAGGTCTCAAAATATAAAGAAAAAGGACTTTGATGAAATATTACTCAACTCCAGCTTCTAACATTTCTCCACTGGCTCCTCAGCCTGTGAACTAGATGCAACACCTGCTACATCTGCTCACGTACCACCGTACAATCATCGCAATACACACGCACACAACGACATAGAAAGAAATGTAAGGGTGAGCTTACAAAAAAATAAACTAAAAATCATACATATATATATATATATATATAACAAAACATTACTCATAGCAACAGCCCCATGCATTACCAGCCCATCTAATGCACAACATGAAAACGGTTTCCAACTGGTTTCACAGCCTAAGTAATCCAGAAGAAATCGACCCGGTC